GCTGGACATGAAGCCAGTGGCATCGGCATAGGGGGTGGGGGCAGCTGAATGCAGGGGGCCCCTTAGCTGTGGTGCCCCCTGCAGCCGCAGGTTTCTCAGTATAGGATGAGCCAGTCCTGCATTATTGCAAGGTGTAAAATCGAATTTTAAACCCACAGTTGTTAGGAAATACAAGACTATGGCTCCCACATCCACCATAACTTGACTACATTTAAATTACATTGTACATTAAGGCATTGAAACTAGAAAAATGTATTAATTCAAAGTGCTACATATGCATACATATACAGAAAAGAGATAAGCTGCATTTGTTTTGGAAGCTCCAAAATTAACAGTTCTCTCTCCTCTTTCCTTTACTCTTATCTGCATGTGCAAGGTGAAATAGCTTTCCCATACTGATAAAAGCAAATAAATATACTGCAGTAAAACATATGCTATATAAAACACTGATCTAAGACCCACTCAAGTTAATGAAAGAGTTCCCACTGACCTTGGATTAGACTCTAAGGGAACAAATTAAACCCATGCAAAATGCATTTCTTAAGAACTTAAAAACTGTAGGTCCTCACCTTCCATGGTACAGCTTGACCCTGGTTCTTGCTCCCCGACCAAGTTGTATCAGTTGCAATGGGCTGGAGACTTGAGATCAGACCTGCTTCTAAATGTTTCTTCTTCTTTGGCTGCAGCCTCTTGCTGTCAGAGAAGAAGCAGCAACTCTGCTTGTGGTGATGAATGGTATCTTGGACCACAGCTGGTTTTTCAGTCCTGCTACATGCAACATTCATTCCTGAGATCTCAAAGCTTTGTCATGATGAAAGGTACCTGCAGGACTGGAGCTGGCTTTTTTCAAACTCCCCCAGAAGGTTCAGGGTTCTTATTCCACAGGGTCCCTAGGGCAATCTACTCCCATTCTAAGAACGGAACCGAGGGAAAGCAATATTTTTGTTCAATTCCAAGTTGAAGCTGACATGTTAGAATCTGATAAGAGCAGTGGCATAGCTGCTAATTAAGTGTGATGGAGAGGGTGGGGCCCAGGTTGGGGCTTCAGTCAAACAAATTCACAGGCTTTGCCTTTGTCTGAAAAAAATGCCTTGCAGGAAAACACAAAAACAAAACACAAAGAAACTCCAGTCCCCAAGCTCTCTTACAGATACTTGAAATGCTTGCCAGTGCCCACTCCCTTTGGTTTAGTCCTTGTGATGGGATTAAGTCCTGTAAAAATGCTCGAGCCCTTCACTCAAGCAGCTCCAAAAATTTCTTACTACAAGCAATGTTGCAAGCGGAGGGCTCAGAGCTGCTTGCAAGCCAACTAGAAAATAAAGCATGTACTGTTAACTCTCTCTTGTACTGTTAACTCTTTCTCTGTGCATGACTTCTCTCTGTCTCCCTTCAGCTTCTGTTCCTCTCAGTCCCTACCCACCAGTTTCTACTGCTCAGCAAAGAGGCTGCTTCTATCACTTAAAAGGACAAAGTCTGGTGTGTGTGTGTGGGGGGGGTCACATCTGCCCATTTCCATGGTTACTGGAACACCTGTTGGATGCACAGGTGAATGGCAGGAAAAGTACTTACAATATCTGCAGGCTCTTTCATTTATCAATAGAACAAAGTGGAAGGTTTAGTCACTACATTAAATTACAAATAAAATCAAATTCATTTTTGGCAAGTATTTCTTATTGTTGGTGTTACTTTGTTTCATCCAAGGAACATTGTTTAATGGCAGGGTACAACACTTAAATTGTTATCACTAGCCAGAGGGCACCAAGTAAGTGTTTTTGCCTTTTTCTCTCAGATATAGTCAGATGGAGAATGGATCCTAAATGGCTCCTTCACTTTCTACTGGTGAACGGGAGATAAAAATGCACAGTCCTGAGGAAGAAACAACTGGGAAACCAGCTCTGTTGTGCCGAGAACACAGAGCAGTCAATAATGTGTAGTGGCTTCATTTCAGGGTTTGGGGTAATCCTCAGCAGATCCAGGTTAGAGTGTGTAACATCTTTTCTCTGATTTAGCTGAGGTTTATGCAATGCTATGAACTATAGTTGCTACAGTGAAAGACCCAATCCAAAATCCATTAAAATCAATGGAGAGAGACCCCCATTGTTTTAAATGGTTTTGGATTAAGCCTTCTTTAAATGTTCCAGCCCCATCACTTAAATGGCTCCAGGAAAAAAATTTCCCCCTGAGAGTCTCTGTTCTATGAGTGTATCTGGAACTAATAATTAGAAATCAGGGAGCATAGCCAACTTGAACTGCCTTTATTGCTGGAAGTAACAATTAGCAACTGAAAACTAGCTTTTTGAATGAGGGGAGATGGTGTTCTCTCAAAGCAGTGCTGTATTTCTGGTTGAATTGGCCATTCCATTCTACGCCCTTCGCTGTGTAAATAGTAAGTTTTGGGGGCTGAAATCCTTCATCTTTTGTCTCAGGGTAGAAGCAGCTTTCCGGAGAGAAAAGGAGTAGAGACAAGGAAAGATACAACAGGTATTGGCTAAATTATTCATTGTAAATGTAGCAGATTGCTTCCAAACTAGTCCTAATTTCTAGAAATGTGTCTGTTATATGCAAATATCCACCAAATGGTTTGGGCAAATACATTTCAGTGATGGGTGGTGTCGTGGAAACACACGCAGCATACTTTTGGGTCAGGTCAGCAGAAGCTTTTATTCAAAAGAAACTACAGCTGTAGGGGGGACTCCAAAGTGACATGGATTTCCCAAGCGCTTGGAAGGGGTTCCCCCCAAGAGCAAAATCAGGAGGCTTATATACTTTTTAACAGTTGCTTACAACTCACGTGATCATATAGTGAAATTAGCATGAAAAGCGTCTATAATATTACTTCATTATTTCTTTGCTGTAATCAGGATGGGAACTAATGGGGGAGGCGAGGTTAGTTCACAAACCTCCTTCTTGCACCTGGAAATCAGATTTGTACATACTTTTTTGCTATCTTCAAGGCCGTGGTGAGCGAAGCAGTTGTAGAGGAGTTACAAAGAACAAACACTTTCTCTTATCTGTTCTTCTATACAGAGCCAGCAATTCTCTACAAAGCGGTTATGTCATCTTATAACTAAAATAATCAAAGTTTAAGGCAGATATTTTTTCTGATTCCACAGTGGGTTGCAAACTGTTCCCTTTGCCTGCTCATTATCCATGTGGTATGAGAGGAAGGCTGATCAATGGTTATGGTACTAGTCTGCAATAAAAAAGACCCACACTGAATTCCCTGCTGTGTCCCTGGATTATCATGCACAGGTCACCTATGCAGGCGAATTTACCAGCATAATTATATCAACGTGGCTATACTAGGATAACTCCCAGATATAGCAGTACCTTTTAACAGGCTTTTCATATTGCTTTGGACAGAGCTGACCTGAGCAGGGTGCAGGGCCCAGGGCAAATCAGCCCACGTGGCGCCCCACACCCGCACCGATCCCATGGGCCCTGAACCTAAAGAAGCTGCCACAGTGGTATCAGTGGCAGAGGCAGGTAGTGAGCACCTGGATGCAGAGCCACTGCTCTGCCCAGTTTTGCATCACTGCTGCTCCACAGGGCCTCTCAAAGCACGGGGCCCGGGGTGGTCACCCCGATTTGCCCCCCCAGGGATGGCCCTGACTTTGGAATTAGTACAAGCTGAACTTAGAAATTCCACTCTTATTCCTAATAAGAGCCTTCACACTGGGAGTTATACTAGTACAATTATAGCAGAATAATTATGCAGGTAAATTTCCCCATGTAGGCAAGTGCTAAATCTCCCTGTGCCTCAGATCCCCAGGGTTCCTGAAATTTTAAAACAGGAAATTAATGAACAACAAAATAGTGTCCAGGGAACATTAAAAAAAAAAAAAAAGTGTCAGCGTTAAAAGTTGTGAAACTTTTGGGATTCACAAACAGTGCTGCCAATACAGGGCAAATATATAAAAACTGGCAGATAATTTGACCCCAGAAATCAAAGTACAGCAAACACAAGTCTCCTAATTATAAACACATTAGCGGATCTGTGTGTCTGCTGTTTGACCAACTCACATCAACATAGTAGTTAGCCATCTGTACGTGTTTTTTCATAGATGCACGAGATCCAAGAGCAAAACAAGTAACTCTGTTGCTGTCTTTAAAGAGATTATGTAGTGATGGGAGTGTGATTTAGAATTCAAAGTGTTTTGACCCTTGAAGAAGAGCTGACTTGTTTATAAATCTTTGACAATGTGGGAACTGTCCTCTAGGAGCTGTTTAGTTTATTTATTTATTAATGTGGCTTTTTACACTGAAGGAATTGGATTGAGTCACCTTTCTTTTCTCGGTTGTGGCAACATTATTGTCTCCAAGTGAACTGCTACCAGCAGATGTCTCACTTCTACAGAGCACAATGCTGCCGCTCTTGTATTAACCAAATGCTTATGGACAATGGCTTGCTATAGGGCTGTGGTATTGCTTCCAGAGGAGAGATGCAAGCTCTTTTCTAGCTTCTGGGAGGATCATGGAGGTGCAACGGACATACTGTTTATTCCTAGGAGAACAGGAGGAAAAGTAAAAGGAAGGAGGAGAGGTAAGAATGTGTCATGCCTCTGCCAGCTCTCTCTCAGCAGAAACTGGGTCAGGGGCAAGGTTTCTGCATAAGCCTTTGACTGGGGCAATTCCCCAGGGCACATTTTACACTACATACCAGATCATGCTCAGGAGCGCTGCCATGAAAATATGCTACACCCCAGAGGTGCCAAATACGTGGGGGCCTGACGGCCCTGGCCCCACTGAGGAAGAGGGCTGTCACCTGAAATGCATAAAACTTTACATATGTCCATTATCTTAGCCCCCCTCCCAGCAAAAATAAAAGTCAACGCTTATACTACACCCACTTCATTTTGCTCTTTGAACACCAACAACGTACAGTGTAACTGCCATTGGAGTGGCACTGTGCATGATCACTGCTTCTCACACTACACTTATCACATGCTAACTGTTAATGGTCAGAGTATTCAGGCAGTGAAGCATGTGGTTCAAAGCTCCAGTGTGGTTCAGGGGGCCAGGACTGGTTCCAATGCTGTGCCAGTGTTGCTCCCAGACCTGAACTGGCTCCTGTGAGATGGAGGAGCTGGGTGGGTGCTGGTGTTGCTCCCAGCCTTGTACTACCCCAGACCCTTGAACTAGCTCTGGTGTTATCCTAGTTGTGAAACCAAAATCTGCTGATTTTTGGTCTCAGCCCTGAGATTGCCCCAGAGCTGGTGCAAGACCGTGGTGTGGTACTATGATCCATATTCAGTTCATAGTAAACATTAATGTACAACTCCTCAGAAAAAATTCTGAGTTGTATTAATATTTACTATGATCTAAACATAACATGTGCCAAGTGTAACAATCCTTTTATATTTCATAGATTCATAAACATTAGGGCTGGAAGGGACCTTGGAAGATCATCGAGTCCAGCCCCCTGCCCGAAGGGCAGGAAGTCAGCTGGGGTCACAGAATCCCAGCAAGATAAGCATCCAATTTTTTTCTTGACGGTGTTCAATGTAGGTGCATGAACCACCTCCAATGGTAGGCTGTTCCAGACCTTGGGGGCTTGGACAGTAAAGAAATTCTTCCTTATGACTAGCCTGAAACGGTCTTGCAGTAGTTTATAACCGCTCGACCTCATCATCTCTTGGGGCACTCTGGTGAACAAACATACCCCCAGACACTGGTGGTCACCCCTGATAAACTTATAGGTGGCCATCAGATCACCCCTGAGCCTGCGCTTTTCCAGGCTAAAGAGCCCCATAGCTCTCAGCCTGTTGGCATAAGGTCTGTTTTCCTGACCTCCGATCATGCATGTGGCTCTTCTCTGGACTCTCTCAAGCTTCTCCACATCCCTTTTGAATTGTGGGGCCCAAAACCGGATGCAGTACTCCAGCTGTGGCCTCACCAAGGCTGAGTACGAGGGGAGAAAGACGTCCTGGGATTTGCTTGAGAAGCATCTAGGGATGCAAGCCAGCGTTTTGGTCACTTTACTAGCCGCAGCATTGCC